TTACTAACTCACTTATTTGTTATCTGTCAGTCGCTATTTGTCCTTTGACATGCCCACCATATGGCGTCGACCGTTTTGTCATGCAACGGATTGTTATTTCTGCTTGACAAAAGTTAAGCAACAAGGACGTCACAAAACAGTTGAGTATCCACAAGTGGCTTCTATGACAAAACCTGTTCCACATTCAAGTTCGGTCCCGTATCCTGTTTATCCAAAGCGGAAACGAGCGCCCTCTGTTGAATTGACCGTTACAAAAAGTGAGGAGGAATTCAAGGAGGAATGCGAGGAAGACTTCGAGGTGGAATTGGAAAGAAACCCAAAACTGTTTACACAATCCGAATTTAATGATTTGGTGCGAGATCTCGACTTATCGAAGGAGAAATCCGAATTGCTGGCATCACGCTTGAAAGAACACAACATGCTGAGCAAGGAGGTCAAAATTTCTTGTCACAGGAATCGTCACAAGAAATTTGACAAATATTATTCTACAAAGGACAAGGCATGTTTTTGCCATGACGTAAACGGCTTGTTTGAAGAGTTTGGTGAGCCATATGATCCAGCTGAATGGCGTTTATTCATCGATGGCAGCAAGTTGAGCTTGAAAGCCGTTTTACTGCATCAAGGGAATGAGAAACCTTCTATTCCATTAGCTCATGCCGTTAATATGAAGGAAACGTATGAATCAATGGCTCTATTGCTCAATTTGATAAATTACAATCAACACAATTGGAAAATTTGTTCCGATCTTAAAGTGGTTGCCATGTTGACTGGATTGCAACAGGTATACACAAAATATATGTGTTTTTTGTGTAAATGGAACAGTCGAGCTCGTAAGGAACACTACGTCCGAAAAGATTGGCCAAAACGGGATAATTTCACAATTGGTAAAGACAACGTTAAAAATGATCCTCTTGTGGTAAAAGAACGCATAATACTTCCACCACTACATATAAAACTTGGGCTATTCAAAAATTTCGTTAAAGCGTTGCAAAAAGAAGGGCCGGCATTCCAGTACTTGAAATCAGTATTTCCAAATTTATCTGACGCAAAGATAAAGGAAGGTGTATTTGTTGGCCCACAGATCAAAACACTGCTCAATGATTCCGCATTCAATACAGTTTTGACACCAGATGAGGAAGAAGCGTGGAAATCGTTCCAGCGTGTTGTCACAACCTTTTTAGGAAATTTCAGAAGCCCAGATTATGAGATTGTTACATATAATTAACTTCAAATCCTTTTATTTCACTGAACACAGGTGTGAATATGTCTTTGAAGATACATTTCCTACATTCTCACATGGATTTTTTTCCCGGAAAATCTTGGTGACGAGAGTGATGAGCACGGCGAACGTTTTCACCAACAAATGAAGATGATGGAACGTCGTTACCAAGGGTTTTGGGATGAAGCAATGATGGGTGACTATTGTTGGTTTCTGATTCGAGAAACAAGTTCAAAACATCGAAGACAAAGTCATTCGATTCTCAATCATTTTTAATAAAACCTAAATAAATTTCTTTTGTATCAACTCGGTTTTAAATCCTGATGTGCCTTAATCAAATTGATATGTAGAGAAAAGAATCTCCCATGAAAACTTTACATGCGATTTGGATGCTTACAACGACACCTAGAAAAGGAACTCTAAAGCTGTTGTATTTCAGCAACATTTTTAAGTGTTTTACAAAAATGCTCATAACTTCGACAATTTCCAACCGATTTCATCCATTAAAGGCTCATTTTCTCAGGTTTTAAATGGACTTTAAGAATAAATTATGGAATGATTTTTTGAATCTTTTTATCCCATTAAATTCAGCGTAGGATTTTGCATTGGAAATGATCATCACCTTACCGAGTTCAAAAATGCTGTAAACTACACGCTTACTTGAAAGTACTCATTAATGAGTAAAAAAAGACCCATTTTGAAGAAAAGTGGCTTAACTCATTAATGATTAAACAATTTTACCCATTAATGAGTATCTGTTACCCATTAATGATTAACAATTACTCATTAATGGGTAACAGATACTCATTAATGGGTAAAAAATTTACTCATTTAATGAGTTAAGCCACTTTTCTTCAAAATGGTTCTTTTTCAACCATTAATGGGTACTTTCAAGTTAGCGTGTAGTGTAATAAGCCTTTTTTTCTCGCTTCAGTTATCTCGCACGGCTTTCGGAATTCGCGCGTTTTTCGTAACTTACATAATTTAGATATTTCGTTCGAAACGGATTTACTTATTCAATCAGTTTACTACGCGGATGTATCTACGCGCACACGTCACAGCATTTTTTTTCTATAACTAAAGGGTGTTACGGTCAAAATTTGGTCAAGGGAAAACGCGTGTAAATCGGTGAAATCGTTTATTTAAAAAATCAAATTAAATTTCTTTTTCAAGTTCAATTAGTATAAAATTCAGGAAAAATATTCAGTTAGGCTTCCGCTTTTCCAAATCCGAATTGCCGGGCCTTACGCTTGACCCCTGCCATCAGATTTTGTACAGCCACCTTGTCCACCTTCTTCGCCGCAGAAAGCCAGTTTGCCTTGAACTGCTGCTCGCCCTTAGCAGTTTTTTTGGTCTTCTTTAGGTTCCGCTTGACAATAGCCCAGTATTTCTCAATTGGGCGGAGCTCTGGCGTGTTGGGAGGGTTCTTGTCCTTGGGAACCACCTGCACGTTGTTGGCGGCGTACCACTCCATGGCCTTTTTACCGTAATGGCAAGATGCCAAATCCGGCCAAAACAGTACGGAACAACCGTGTTTCTTCAGGAAAGGCAGCAGACGTTTATTCAAACACTCTTTCACGTAAATTTCTTGGTTGACAGTCCCGGAAGCTATGAAAATGCTGCTTTTCAAGTCACAGGTACAGATGGCTTGCCAAACCAGATATTTCTTTGCGAACTTTGACAGTTTCATGTGCTTGAAAACATCTGCTACCTTTCCCCTTCCTTTTGCCGTATAAAACTCCTGTCCCGGAAGCTGCTTGTAGTCGGCTTTGACGTAGGTTTCGTCGTCCATTACCACGCAGTCAAACTTCGTCAGCATCGTCGTGTACAGCCTCCGGGATCGCGCTTTGGCCGTCGTATTTTGTTTATCATCGCGATTTGGAGTCACTACCTTCTTGTAAGTCGATAGTCCGGCTCGTTTTTTGGCTCGATGCACGGTTGTAGACGATACACCCAGCTTATTTGCGGCATCTCGGAGAGAGAGGTTAGGGTTTCGCTTGAAACTACCGGCAACTCTCTTTGTCGTGTCAGCGGCTTCCGGTTTTCGATTTCCCCCCGATCCAGACTTCCTGGCTGTCGACAAACGTTCCCCAAACACTTTAATTACATTTGTAACGGTTGATTTGGCAACTTTTAGCGATTTTGCCAACTTTGCGTGCGAGTAGCTCGGATTTTCGCGATGCGCGAGCAAAATTTTGATACGCTGCTCTTCTTGCTTGGACGGCATTTTGACAACTGAAGAGTGAATTCCAAAATCAAAATAGGAGCAACATTCTACACACACACACCTTCAAAATAAGGGGTGTTCAGGTTTTTTAAATGCAAAATTGAAAGAAATACGTCAAGTTGATATTGACCAAATTTTGACCGTATCACCCTTTATCTTGAAACAATACATACGGAATCCAGTGTTCAAGCGGCCAACAAAGGCTAGTCCTTCTGCTGTATTGTCAAAGATAGAAGCAAAATTTATTCAAATGGGTCAAGTCTTGAAAATTAAGCTGTCACGCAGCTCCAGTTTGATACCCAATAAAAAAAAATGTTAATGTTTAAAAACTTTCCAAAATATTTAAACATCACTTTGTGTAGCGTATATTTAAGCATACAATAAAAATAAAACAACATAGAAAACCATTTTTTTTTCTTTTTTTGGTCAGCTTTTTGCTCTAGGTACTCCTCTGTGAAACAAAGGAACAAAACTTTAAAGACACCATTTTGTTATCTTGACTTTCTTGACAAGTCATGAAATATTTAAATTTTTATGTACCATTTGTGCCATTTTTATCGAATACCCCTTTACATCCCATTTCATCAGTTTTTAGCCGATTTTGATGTAACTGGATTTGTTTGATCATGAATTCTTATTTGATTTTAATTTTCACTAAATATTTAATATATTTTAAAATTCCCTGAGGTTAAGTCACTAGAACCATTTTGAAACGATGGAAGTTTTGAATAATTTTAAATTTAAACCGGAATAACAGGTGCACAAAAGTTAATATATGAAACTAGAAATGTTACTCAGTGCTTGCGATAGAGAAGCAAGCATTGATTTAAATTTTCAGATTTACACGTCTTCTGGATGATGAGATTTGTGCCCATGAAACCATTAAAATGAAATTTATCGTACTCCTGCGCAGTGACTCGCGAACTTTTCCCATGGTCAACTAACTTATTTTTTTTTGTAAATTCCAAATTTTAACCACTGCTAAAAATTGGTAAGTAGTCAATTTATTTTCGACAGTTTAGACAAAAGGACAACAGATGGTTGTGATTTTTAATAAAATGAAAAAGTCCCTTTCAGATAGCGAACGTTTTGTGGTATGCCGATGGAAGGCGCTTACCTTGCATTTGGGCCAATTAAAAATATACTGATTGTAAATAGATAAGTATTTTATCAAATGTTAAGTGGAAATCTTATCATTTTAAGCCAACCGATCCAACATGGATTTCGTCTGCATACCACCCTTAATTAAAAACCCAAACAAACGCCTCGCATAAAACCACGCTGTTTACCTCCGCTATCAGCTGTGCCGGTGCCGGCATAGAGAGTGAGACTAGCGGCCATGTGTACGCTACTATTGAGCGGGAGAGAAATCCCACGATCACCAAGAGAAGATCACGATCGTTTCGTATGCTGGCTGGACTTTTCTCTCGACAACATAGAGATGGTGTATGTTATCCTGTGTACTCCGTTTGCATCTGTCGCGCCGGTCGTTCCTACACGGGAAGCAAGATCAATCAGCGCAAAATCTTCGTTCAGTCTTCGCCGGGATTTCAAACTGTTCGGACGCTGTTTCTGTGCGCGCGCGTGCGTCTGCTACTGACGGATCTTGAGTCGAGCTGCGGTTTGCGGTTTTTGAGTTGAATGGGATTTTCTGGATTATTTTGGCGTTGTTTTATGTTGCGTTCGAAGTGGTGCCACGGAGATGTAAGTTCGGTTTTGTTGTCCTTTTTGGACAGGCTGCCTTGAATTATCTCGTATGCTCGTGACTGAAGGAAAGTGTAGTTTACCCGTAGACTTGTTACGATAAATTGCTTGGCGGTGTAGTATTTAAATAGATTGCGCGTTTCGGCGCACGTTCAAAGAGACTTACGCATCGGGTTTTTTGCTTTATTTGCCTTCTCGTGGTGCGGATTTTGTTCCTTTTCTGACGCCCCAAACGGACCGAAATAATACGGTGTTAATATGTCATCGACTTTTTTGTACCGCCACCGCGAGTGACAATGTGGTTTCTCATTTAGAGCCCGGTACCAATCAGTGAATTGCCTATAGATTGGTTGAAAATAAAAATAAACGAAAATATTCTCACCATCGATTGGTGAGGCAGCAAGTGTGAAAACGTATCAACAATTTCGTGGAAAATGATCCTTCCCTCGTAAATACTGGTGTGTAGTGGAAGAAAATAATTGTGAGATCTCAGCTAGCCTGTGCTTTAGCCATTTTCTCGGTTTGAGATGTGAGAAGGTGCAATAAAAACCCGAAGAATTAACAAAAAGAAAAGGAAACGTGCATTTTGCGAGATTCGGAGAGGGAGAAAAAAAAAAGTTTTTGGATGTGCAGGTTTGACGAAGAAAAATTAAGTGACGCGAAAATCACCCGTGCAAAGGAAACACGTGAAGAAGTTCAAAAATGCAGCTTCATTCCTTCGCTTGAAATCGGGTGTTTGGAATCGGCAGTGTTGTGTCAGTTCGGAGTGCGCTTTTGAATTTCTCTCCGCATCGATCATCAATGGTGTGTTTGCTGCCTGTGAACTTCAGATGTAAAACAGTGACTCGACGGATTGAGATTGAAGCACTTGGTGTCCTGTGTTGTCGCGTGAAGCTTTCCTTCTTGTTGGTGGAGCGTATTTCGAAGTGAGTGTAATTATAGTTGCCCTCTTATCAATATAAGGTTATTATTCTTCGTTTTTATGTTGGTCCAGTTGAGGTCGATTGAGCGAGGGATGTCTAGATGATTGTGCAGTGTTGGTGCATTTAGCGGTTGATTTTTGTTTGTTTATGATAGTGAATGCTTTTTGTATAAACTATATGAAGAAATGATATAGTACACTCATTTCTGTTTTTGCATTATTTATTTTTTTTTCAATTTTGTCCTCATTTAGGGTCAATACAGAAATTTACATACCACCATATTTTTCATTGTTTTTCTGATTTTTTGAAACGAGTCCACTAAATTTGGAAGCAATTTATTTGAATTTGAGATCACACGATCAAAAATACGGATGATAAATAAATCACATAGAAATAGAATTGCGTGTAGTATAGTTATGATATGATTGTAGTTATAAATAATAATACAAAAATTTCGATTTGATCGATTTTTTTTCTTAACTTCAATAAAATGAACAGAAAGAATGATAGAAGCACAGGCAAACAGACATAACACATTGAATATTTCTCACTGTAAAACATCGTCGCAAAAACATTACCGCCATCTGTTGAGTACACTGTGGTGGGTAGTACGCTGAACAGATGGCGGTAGTGTGTAAACGTCAAACGCAAGGGAATTGACTATGCGCGCCACAGGTGGTGGTACTACCAACTACGATACTTTTAAATTGACCGTTAAATGCTTGTTCGATGAACAACTTGCGAGTGTTATGTCTGTTTGTCTGTGATAGAAGTATGGAATGCGATAAGTTTTAAAAATCATGGCTTTCCTACCTCATAAAGTTTTACTACCATACAGTATTGCAGTAAATAAAATGAAATAATTTTCAGTAATGACCAGATTTTGTCAGTCACCTATTTGAAAATATCTTCTAATGTTCTAAGAAAATTATGCATTTTATAAGTAGTCTTATTGCATTAAATTATACCTTAAACATCCAGATGATTGAAAAAGGTTTTTAACCCACAACCTGGTTTTAAAGACTGAAGGCCATCCGGTGATTCGGATCAACCTTAATCTTGATTATTATCTATTTTTTCTCTGCAATTATATGGAATGTCTAATCTAATCTAATCTATCACCAACACAGCCAGTTCATGAAAGCATCCTGGAAAATGATAGATATACCTCCATCCTTTTTCTTGTCTATTTGGTACATTTTGTACATCAGAGATGCGCATAATATATCAAAACGGCCAGGCCTACTGTGCAGAATTTAAGGGGCAAGATGATTCAGAAACATCGGGCCTGTTTAAAACAAAGATTTAAACACGATGCTTCAGAATCCAATAAATGGATGAAACGTGGACATCTCGTACCGTACGTTCCGTTGTTATAAATGATTGGTCGTTGGGAGCATCTAATCTTAAAAAGTTAAATGATGCTCTATTTTCCTAGAATGGTTGGGACATGAGCACTAACTCTTGTCTTAGCCCTATATGGCTTATGGCTATAGCGCCATTACTCGCTTTTTCTCTGCAATTGCTCCGAGTGGTCACCGGACCACCGGAAGATCCCGAAAATCTGTAATATTGATTGATGAGTAAATTTGATCAAAGTAGGCCTTGCTTTGATCTGATACTAAATGGAATGTAGTGAGATGCTGATTTTTTATGTACTAGACAGCCATTGCTTCTAAGTGGCCACCATAAATTTGATCAAAGTAGGTCTTGATTTGCGTCTGCAACTATATGAAATATAGTTAAATTGTGGTTTTTGATATATTAGCTGGTGATTGGCTGCAAATGGTCACCAAATGGACCGCCGGAAGATCCGGAACATCAGTAAAATTGACTGCTATGTAAATTTGATCAAAGTATGCTTAGATTTGTTCTGATTCTATATGGAATGTAGTAAAATTGTGGTTTTTGATATATTAGCGGGTCATTGGATCCAAGTGGTTTTTCGGAAGATCCGGAACATCCGTAAAATATTGTAAAACATTGTCGACTACCCCTCCTTGACTCAGTAACATTAAAGCGTTCGGCCAACTGGCGTCCGGCTTATTGGCCTTCGGCCAAATCCTATATAGTTAAAAAAAATCGCCCCCCTCATATTTTTTTTTCAAAATTCTTCCAAAATAGATTTAAGAATCTCTTTGGGATTTCCTTGGAATTTTCACTATAACAGTTCAGAAATTTTAAACCTCTGAAAATGATTGAAATTCTGTTCAGTATTATCTATATCCTATTCAAAATGCCATTGGAATTAGGGTTTTTGATCTAATTTCCGTCCTACTAAGGACATCCCGCACTTAAACACGCTTTTTGGAAAGGGTTCGAACGAAACATGGAATGTTTTCATCAAAGATAACTTCTAAATTTATCCACCTTTCCATACGTACCGTTGGATTTGATAAAGAGTCAAACAATGTTGAGATATTATTAAAAATCTAACACTGCTTCTTGCTTCTAAATTCGTCCTACGCGTTTCAATTCCGTCCAAACGCATTGAAACGCCATTAGATTTTCTTCGTCCTACGGATAAACGGAGAAAAAAGGGATGCGCTAGGAGCGCTTCTTTTGTTTTGAGAACAATGAGCGTAAATATGCATGCAATGCGCTCTAATAGGATTTATGTTGTAGCTAATGAACTAACGCATCGGAACAAACGTATTATTGTTTTGTGCATTGTGAAATCATTGATATTATTGATGATTTCTGCTCGATAGAACGGAAATGGGCGATTACGACAAAGTAGCGCTCTTCCCTATCCTTAGAATTCCCTTAAAAATCTTCTCAGAATTTCATTGAAATGGTACCCTCAAAATTCGATTCCTGTTTTACCTCGCCATTGGCGCCGGACCCTGCTAAATTTTAAATTATCATAGCGCCCCTCGTTTCAGCACTACCGATGTGATCCACAGCAAATGATAATGCTATCACCATAGACAAACAGACGTAACTCTTTGAAAAAGTTTATCTTGAATACATAGTATGAGGTCCTATCAGTAACGACATCTCTCGGGCTTTTCGCGGGAAACAAGCTTGCTCGCTAACTCGCAAACAATATTGCATACAAGTTCTATAGAATGTATAGAAACGCCAAAAAGATCCGATGCTAGCGCTGCAGCGAGTAGTTCACGGAACTTATAATATTCAAGTGATCCGCTGAATATTTTGTCAGTTAGCTAGTTTGATATCATCGATAATCCTGAAAATTAATAATAACGTGGGCCTGTTCACACCCTGGACGAATCAATTCCCTTGGTATTCTTCTCAGAATTTCCTTGGAACTCTCTTTAGAATTCACTTCACACAATTTTTAGAATTACCTTGAAATTTACCTTAAAATTAATTTGGAACTATCCTCAGAATTCGATACCTTCGGAATATATTTGGAATTGTCAACAGATCTCTCTAGAAATTCTTTTCAGAACTGATTTGGAATATTCATTAGAATTTAATTAGGAATCGTTTTTTATAATTGTCAACCAATTCAACTCTGAACTCGCCTAAAACTTCACCTGGAGCTCTTCTTAGTTCTTACAATTACCTTGGATCTCTTCGTAAAATTGACTTGGAGTTCTATTTACAACTCTCTTTGAGTTCTTTCCATAACTTTCTTGGAATTAATCTCTGAAATTCTTTGGTGTTATCCCTAGAATTTTCGAAAATCTCTTCCTCCTTTGGAATTTTTGATAAAATTCCCTTCATAGTTCTTCAAAAAGACTGTATCTAGAAAAATCGAGTCCAGTCTAAGGGTCTTGATATTTCTTCTAAGTCCAGCATATTGCAGTTTTCCTGGAGAGACAGTCAAGTTTATTTTTCTCCGGTGATTTCGGATTCCCAGATTTTTCCCGATTTCCGGAATTCCCGTATTACTGGTCAGTCTGAATTTGTATATAAAATTACAATTATATCCTCGACACTAATGTATTTAGAAAGTAAGCTCATGTCTTCAAGTTTCATGTTTATTCAGATCCCTGAGTTCTATTTCTCAATACTGGATGAACATTTTTTTCTGTTATCAAGCTTCATAGACATAAAATCACCATAATACAGAGAAGCTCAAGTAACTTCATTAGGATAAATGTAGTGGCTTCAGATACTTATTTATTTTCAGTGCTTGATTTTTCTTATCATTGCTCGTGTAACCCTTCACAGAATGTTTATTAAATTTTACTCTAGCATATCTTTAAAACAACTTGGAACCATTTAAGAATTTCCGTAGAGTTTTTTTTTTTCATAAGTGTCCTATAATAGGGATTGTTGCTCACTCACTAGTCACTGTTACTAGCTTTTAATTTACAAATTATCGGTAAGCCTTTGCGTTCAGAGTTTTTCAATAATTTTTTTCAATAAATTCTGAACATGAAAAGATTTTTTAGGTGTACATAACCTGGATAAGTTATTAATATGTTGGAGCCTCAATGAATTTTGAGATGTTAAAGGGTGTCCACGATGAAATTGCCACACTATGAAATTGCTCTAACTTTTTAACCGTTGGGTAGAATTTAATGAAAATTTGGGTGGATTTAGTTCATAGTGCATTATTTACATCCTGCAAGTTTTAAAGTCCTGTGATCAAAACTCGCGGAAATGGAGTCGAAAGAACAGCTCGTGCGTGATAAAATCTTGCGCATTCATCACGAGAACAAGGATCTCTCGCATCGTTCCATCGCCAAAACGTTGGGAATCGCGAATTCCACGGTGTCGCGAGTGATTAAGCGGTTCGAGGAACGGTTGACCACCGATCGGAAGCCCAGAAGTGAAGGAAAAAGTATTCCGTACAACACCAAAAATCACAACCGCGTAGTTGGGGCCTTCAACCGAAATCCGAACGCCTCCGTTAGGGATGTGGCTAAGAAGCTGCACCTAAGCCGAAGTTTTGTCCAGAAGGCCAAAACTAAGGCTGGGCTTCGAACGTTCAAGGTACAAAAGGCCCCTAATCGCGACGAGAAGCAGAACAAGTCCGCCAAAACCCGTGCTAGGAAGTTGTACCTCAACATGCTGACGAAAGT